TACATACATATAATTATGATATAAATTTATGTTAATTGCTATATAAGCTGCACATACAGGGGGCCTGTGTTGGGTACTTCATATGTGATCATTTATTGAACATTTACTGGGTCACAAATTTGTGCCAAGGGTACCACAGTGAGTTCCATCTTCAATAACACTATACATTTGACATCTATTATCTCATGCAAAGTTTAAAGTCAACCCCAGGGAGGCATCAAACACTGTCAATCTTGAACATGAAACAATTACATTTCTAGTAAAGTCACAGAACGGACAGAGAACTGAAATTCACACCCCAAACTGAACAATAAAGCCTGTACCCAACATAAGAAAGATTAACCAGAGGAGTATCATCTGCCTGCCGTGGGAGACTGACACCGTCACACAGTATACTGAGTGCTATAAAGGACGAAGCTCTTATTTGAGCACAAAGTGATAGTCCAGACTTGGATAAACAGGATGAAGTATCCACAAAGGAAACTTTTAAGAATAAATAGTAGAGAGGAAAAGAAACTATTCCCAATGAAGGAAATAGTATGTTCAAAGAGACAAAATACCATTATATATTCAATGACTAGTAGGAAATGAAGGTAGAAAGGACAAGCGCAATCTCAGGACTGTTTAACCAAATTTAAATTCAGCCAGTAAATACAAGAAAGTTGCTGAGTAATTGTAAGTGAGAGACTAACTATATCTATGCTTTAGACACACTGCTCTAGCATGGAAATGGGCTGGAAAGGCTACTGCCTACAAGCAGGGACCTTTTAGGCTATCAGGAGTTCAGGCAAAAACTAACCTAAAAAAGCAGAAGTGATAGAAACAAAGATTGAGCAGGGCAGTGGTGGCGCTCACCTTTAATCCCAGCATTTGGGAGGGAGAGGCAGGTGGATCTATGAGTTCCAGAACAGCCAGGAATACATGGAGAAATTATCTTATAAAACAACAACAACAAAAATATTCAAAAGATGCATAGAAAGTAGAATTACTAGACATCCAAAGCAATCAAAGACAGTAAGAAGGTGAAGGAAAGACAGGAATCCAGGCAAACCCAAGTTTCTCTCTTGAGCTCTGGATATAATATGGAAGCACCATCATCAAAAAAGGGACTAGAGGGACAAAAACCTACTGTGACAGTACAGAAAACGCCAGATGATGCTGGAACCTGGAACAGCCAAAAGATGTGTAATAAACAAACAGGTAAATTTAGAGCAGTACCTGAGAATGGATGAAACACCCTAAGGAAGTATGTATAAAGGACGGCACTGAAGATAAAGCTCCAAAGGCTAAACACTCTTAAAGCAGAGGCAGATGACGCAAGTATGAAAAGCAGGAAACAGCAGCAACGTTCATGCTTGCAGGAGTGCAAATCCAAGGGGGTTGGCAATACACTGAATGAACCAAAGGGAAGAGAAATGGAGGCTTGTTAATTGGCGGCCTGCAGACTGATGACAGTAGAATAGCTAGCAAAACTAGACAAAACTTAAGTGACTATCGGAGAAGGGAAGAATGTCTTGGCTGAGAAGAGAGCAGCGGCTAAAATAGAATATAGAAACGAACATTTTTAGGATAGCACAGATTTTAGCACTTTTACAGGATGAGAAAAAGACCTGTGGTGAGAGAAATGTTTAAAATATATCTTTACACTTAAATCAGTGGATGGAAAGGATACCTATGACATAATGTTAAAGGAAAATACAAGTTGCTTAATACATACAGAATGATGTAACTTAAAGTTCAGACTTTTCCATTATGACTTCATCCATGCCAAAACTGACTTCATCCATCGAGTACCACTTTCCCTCACATTCACACACAGTCCCAGCAACACTGGGCATTCTTTCTGACCCTTCAACACACTGCCTGCTGTATCTGCCAGAGTGCTCTTCTTTCAATGGCTAGCCCTCCAGGCAACTCTGATCTTGGTTCATGTGTCACATTCCCAGAAGCCTGCCTACCTGTATGCAGTATTACATACTCTCCATCCCTACCCCACCTCTCTAAAGATACTAGCACTTTCTTGTGCTAACAGCTAGCACAAACAAGCATAATACTAACATTCTCATTTTTCACTTGTCCATCTTTCTCTCCGGTATGTAGGCTCTGAAGGTGATTTCTTCCACCATATACCCACCCATATATTGATATCCAATACTCATCTTTGTTGAAAAGTTACTGTCGTGGTAGGCACTTAAAGTAAAACTTACACATACTATCTGAATGATAATGAACACACCTAAAGTTCTGAAATGAGTTAATATTCCTGTTATAAATGAACAGGAATGAGTATGAAATTAGAAAGAGGGGATCTATAATTACACTGTTCTTGTGCTTCATCTCTCTTCAAATTGTCTATAAAGTCTTTTGCAGTTGAGAAATGATTTTTTTCTAAATAACTATGAATCTACAATAGGCAGTCTATTCTGTTTTCCCTTTTCCTTTAGTGAGCTGTTATGATTTAATCATCTGTAGGACAGTTTTATTGCAGGCTAATGTGTGAGTTATTCTGATAGTAGTTAAAAGTTAAAATGTTAATCCTTGGCATTGACAAAGCTTCGATCATCTTGGCTGACACCCAACTCTACAGACATGAACGTAAACTCAGAAATTTAATGAGTAAAGATAATTTAATTAAGATACTAATGAAAAAAACCTACAAAATCCAAAATAATTAAGAACATTTTACTTAAAAAAAAACCATTGTACATTATGTAAATGGTAACTAACTAAAAGCTTATGGTCACCTACAACCCTACAATCTTTTGGTGATACTACTTAAAGTAAAACTTATACTATTTGACCAATGAATGCTATAGATAACATTAAAATATGACCAAAGATTCAGAATGCAGGAAGTAAAAATATTCACTCTGAACACTCTAATGCCATTCAGTGACAGACTAACTGAACTAGCAGGCACTTTCTACCATGGCTTTTGGTGTCAAGTGCATACAGAGTTCATTATACTATGACTCAAACCTCTGCATCAGCTGCTTCAAGGTGTATCCAACAGAACTGATGACAATGTTAAATAGATTTAAAAACACTGTAAACATAATTTATATTGATATTTCTTACATATATATATACACACACACTGTAATTTACCAGAAATAAAGAAAACTTCATCTGAACTTCCAAATAAGTATCTCATGTTTAATAAATTATCTCATTTGAACTTCACAACTACAAAGTCAGAAGATATTCCCACCCTTTAGCATGTAAGAATGACGATCAGAAGATAAAGAGTTTGACTCTTTCAGCCAAGTCCTTGATCGTACTTACCCCCCTGTTTTTTTTTCCATCCAGGACACCCATGTACCATTTTCTCTATGGATGAAAGTAAGGAGCTTTTTATAATGAAAAGAAATCCCAGCATTCCTTTCCAACTGTACTTTAAATTTTAGTACATAACAAAACAATAACCATTTGCCTTAAAGTGATGGAAAAAGATCAAAGTGACTTTTAATAGTTTGGCTCACCAGTAATTCCACATGAATTGCTACCAAACGGAGATACCCTCTCATCTATAACAAGACTTACAGATGTCTCACAAAATATTAAGAAAGGGGTTTTGTGGTTAGGTAAAAATCTAAAATCAATTCATAGATAACACCTTTTTTCCAAAAGTTGTAGGAAGACACAGGGTCAAAAAAAACCAAACATACAAAAACAGGTACCACGGACAGGCAATGTCATTTAACTTCTGAGTGTTATTTCTTTTCCATCTCAAATATTCAAGGCAGGACACAGTACACCATTCTTGCTCCCAGAGAGCCAAGTAAAGCAAGGACTGCTCTTTCAAGCCTGTAATCCAACAATACTGTGGTCATTTATGTATTCATAGCTTAGCCTTGGTTATACTGAAATCGATGCTCACACTACCTGCTGGGCTACCTGCGCCCATGCCACTATTGTGACATAAAATATATAGTAAGCCAGCCTTATATATACAAACCATGATACTGTAAATTCTTACTAGGAGAAAATCTTCAAGGGAAATGGGAAGAAATCTAACAGTCCAATACACTAATTTATGTCCAATACTAACAAACCCCATCCTAGCCAATATAACATGGTTTTTCTCGATTAGCAAAGGGAAGTTCAAACCATAGTAACTACTACAAATCTCTTGCCCCATTCAAGTCTTTTCCGCTGCTTGTGATACCTGCCCAGAATGTCCTACAGCTGCTCTACAAGGCTACTTTGTTTTGTTTTGTCCAGCTTTACTTTTAGGTCTACCTCAAACAGCACTCTCTGACCATGCAATCTAAGCCAGCTTCTTCATCCCTATGTCCTCACAAAACACACAGCGGCCGTCCTCCTCAATGATCTGACCTATTACTGTCGTGTCATTACTCAATACTCAGTACTGAGGAAGGCCCTGGCTTGAATGAATGAACGCACACACCTCCCTGTCTATAGTCATTTACCAAGGAAATCGGACCCCAAGTTCCGTGGGCTGTTACCACCACTTTCTCCAGGGTGGAAGGGGAGGGGCTCTGGACTGAGACGTGAATGAAGAGGTGTGTCCCGCTGCCTCCTCAACACCTGTTCTCTTTGAAGAAATTAGAGAACTACCTATACTGTGTGTACACTGTCGTCTTCAATCATAACGCATTTAGAAAAGAAAACTCTGCATGAGTGGCCCTGCTCACAAATGGCACCACTTCAAACCTCATCGAGCCAATGACATCTGCAGTTATTTAAAACTAAAAGACGTTGGGACACTCAAGGGCCTTTGACTGGCCCTGGACTCCTCCTCGATAAGTCGTTCTGAATTTACCAACACACCACGCAGAAGAACGTAAAAGCCAGCCCTATGAAATCATTCTGGTATTGGTAACGACGTTCCTTCTCAAAAGACACACGACGCGTGTATTCCGAGGCACTTTGGCTGTTAAAACAAATAATTTCTTGCAGGTAAAGGTCGCCATCAGCAAGCAAGCCACGTGTCTGCATGTGAAAACCTGGGCCCTCAGAGTTGACTTAATACTTACTGAGTCCTCCAGCCTCCGGCACTCCGGTCCCCCTCATCCCGAGGTAAGTGAGTCCCAGTATCAGGAAAAAGAGGCAGGCAGCAGTCAGGAGAAACATGGACAAGTAGTGCGCGCTGAAACTGCCCGTGGGGGACACCTCTTCCCGTTTAAACTGCTGGAGGAGTTCCTCCTCGGGCTCGCAGAGCTTCGGCTTGCCATAGGCGTTTTTCAGGTAGGTGTGATTGGAGCCAGTGTGGTTGGCGTGGTTGACCCTGAGCGACGGAGGGGCAGGGGCGCCGGCGCCGGGAGGCAGGCTGTTGGAGTACACCCCGGGGGGATCCACAGCGAAGGCCCCGCCGCCTATGTGGTTGTTGGTTTTGAGAAGGGAACCCGTGGGCGACTCCAAGCTTGAGTCCACGTCGGGGGCCGCCAGCTTCTTGGCGCCAGCACGGTGTCGAGGAAGCGGGCTGGAGTCCACCGGCTCGCACCCTCCTCCCGGCTCGGCCGCCGCCTCCTCCTCGAGGGTTCGGCTCCAGTCTAGACTCCCGGCAGCCGCCGCCCTGTCATTCATCGCCAGTCCTCCCCCTCCCGGAGCCGAAGTCTCCAGCCGGCCGCCGCCAGATTTAGCAGGCAGCGCCGAGAAGGGCTTACTGTGGTGGCTCCGTCTGGGCCGATGGCGGGCCGGCGACGCGGAGTCGTCCTTGGCTACCTGTCTGCCGGAGGCCACGTCGCCGCCGCCGTCCTCCTCCTCCTCCGAGTCCGAGTAGTGCTCCCGGCAGCTGTACGGGAGGAGCCTGCTGCCGTTCACGGCTCGGCTCGCCCACAGCGGCTCGTCGGCCTCGGGGTCCCTGTCGTCGCCGTCCGCGATGTCCTCGTCGCCGTCCTCCGCGGCTCCGTCGCTGCCCGGCGGCGGCTGCGCTTCCGACGCCCCCGGCCGCCGTGCTCCCCACCACGAGTGGGGCTTCCTGCGCTCGCCCGAGTGGCCGCTGGTAGTCACCTCGGCGGCGGCCAGGGACGCCGGCGGCGCTTTGAGCCCGCGGGACTGGAGCGCAGCCCGGTCCCTCCGCGCGCCGCCGCCGCCGCCGGCCTGCTCCCGGGGGCTGGCCTCCACGTCCGACTCGTCCGAGCTGAAGCCCAGCAGCACTTTGCTGCCCGCCGCGGGGACGCTCGCCGCGCCCCCGGATCCTCCCAGGGGGCTCTCGGGAACCGAGGCGGCCAGGCGGCCCAGGCCCGCGGGGGTCCGTAAGTACGGGAGGTCACCCGAGCCGGCCCGGCCCGCCCCCGCCATCCCCGAGGCCGCCGCCGCCGCCGCCGTGTTATTGTTATTACTGTTCCGCGTCTTGGTGCCGCGGCCCCCCGCCCGGTGCGGCTGCGGCTGTGGCGGCGGCGTCTGCGGCGACTGCTGCTCCTCCTCGCGAAGCTTCTTCAGCTTCTTGAGGTACACCGGCCGCGTGCTCTCCGTCACCGGACCCGGGGATAAGCCGTAACGGCGGAGCTGAGTGAAAAGCTCCTCGTCCGAAAGCTGCTGGGGCGCCGAGGCCGCCGCCGCCGCCGCCATTTTCTCTCCAGGGTGTTTTACAAGCTCCGCGCTACCGGAAGTGACGCGCCGCCCTAGACCCTGAACTAGACCGGGCTGCCTGCGTCGCCCTCCCAGCGCCACGGGCGTCTCGGCCAATGGGAGACGCGGGAGGAGCTCACCTGAGCGGGAAAGCGCCACCTGAGCGCCGGGCGGGCTGGCGAGCGGCTCGGCCGGACTGGCGTGGAGGCTCCAACCTGCGGTCCCCGGCGTGTCCCCGGGAAAGCGCCACCTGAGCGGGGGCGAGCCGGTGGGCGAGCGGCTCGCCCGGGCCGGCGTGGATGCGACTGTCTCTGTCGCCGCTCCGCGCCCCGCGCTGCCACATGCCATCCCACTGGCCGCCAGTGTCGCAACTACACCTTGACCTCTTCCCTGGGGTCCCGGCAGCGGGCGGGGAAAGGACATCCGCCCTGAAGTTCATGGCGACACTTTCCTTGTTCGGATCCCTGCTGCCCAGGACACCGAGAATCGAGCGGAGGAATCCCGGCGTGGCGGTTTTGCTGTCTGTTCCCTTTTCATTTTGTCTTTCCGTGTGATTTTTTTTTTCTAAATGATTTTCTCGCCTCGATGCCTTTTCAGAGACTTGTCTTGGAAGAAATGGAAGAGATCGTTCACAGTAGTTTTCAAAAGTCATGGCTGCTCTTTAGATGGGGGCACGTAATTAACTTTTATTTTTTAGGTTTTCTATTTTTTTTAGGGATTTTTTGTTTGTTTTGTAAGTATGATGATGACCTTACAAAGTCATGGAGAAATGAAAGAGCCTATCATCAGAATCATTTTGGCAGAAGAAAAACAAGCTGATTCAACTGCTCTCCTGGCACCTACCCAAACAATAATTAATAAATATTTTTATTTATTTTGAAATATTTTATTGCCCCCTTTGGCTGTAAGCTCCATGTACAGAGGAACTTTGCTTCTATTGTTTTCAACACAGTACACATTTGTTGAGTGAGGTAGTGAGCTGAAAACTGTAATAGAATGAGATTAAAACTTGGGGCATGGGAAAGGTGTCTGGTAAGGTCGATAAACTTTCCCCCAGAGAAAATAAAAACTGAAAGACCTACCTTCTTGTTCACAAAATACAAAATGAATCTGAAAGCAGAGAAATTTGACAATTTTGGTAAAGAGTGCTTCCCCTTTTCTCAAATCCTGACAGCTATTTTTTTTTTGAGTACATAAGCCCTAGAAGCTAGTAAGCAATCCTAGCACTATGTACGAAACATAACAATAGTTTCTGAGTTGCTTTACACTAGAACATAAAAACATCCACTAGGAATAGGTTAGTCAAATACCCAGTGTCCCACAGCAAGGAAAAAAAAATACATTTTTACCTCAATTCTAATTCTTGATTTCTAGCAAATCTTGTCTTCAAATCAAAGCTCTCATATGAAAAACCACCTCCCCTTTTTCTTTATCACTGAGACTTTAAATGTCACAAATGGCCCTGAATCCATGACTGTTAAGCACTTACAAGAGTATCTGAAACTATCATAGTGATTATGATGACCCGAAAACTTACTGAGCCTCAGGCTAGCTGGGTGTTACATAAAACTGGATATTGGCCCTGTCCTTTTTACTATTTTTCATCTTAATCCAACATGCGTTCTCCACTCTGTTGGTTTGTCAGAATCCCAGGTGTCCACTGTCAGTCTGACTTGGTCCAAACGTTACCTAGGTGACGAGCGTTTGGATGTTCTGAAAAGGATTATCTAGGTTTGGTTAACTGACATGAGGAGACCCACCTTGACTCAAGGTGGGCCCATTCAATGGCCTGGGATACTAGACCGGCCAAAAAGGACAGAGTGAGCTGAGCATAAAACACCCACAACTTTCTGCTTCCCGACCATGGTTGCAACATGATAGCTGCCTCTAGCTTCTGCTTCATTCCTGGGCTGCCATGAACTTTGACCTCAAACTATAAACCAAAATAAACCATAAATTCCTATGTCAGACATTTTGTGTGAGGACTGTGTAAAGTAACTAATACAGTATCTATTGATCCTATCCCAACTGTTATGAGCTTTTAAATATACTCCTGCAAGGATTGCTACACAACTGTTTCCATCTCTAACTTTGGATAAATTGACGATTCTGTGCCTTCATTTCTGTATATACAAAATCCTCCACATTTGATCCCCACATCTCAGGGCACAAATGTCCATGTGATACTTAGTGCCATGCTTAATGCTCAATGTGCACTCAGTAAATGTTAGTAATGCAAAAGTCAGCCTTTGTGCATGTCTCTTTGAGTAGTATGGTTCCTGGTGATTCCATGTAACAACCATCAGAACACTTCTGTACAGACAGAAATAGAATTATTCAGAGTCTGCCGAAGATATCAACCACATTGTGAGTTAATGCGAATCAAAGGCTTTGGTAACCCCAGTTCTTGGTCATTTCAGTACTTTGGGTTTTGAATGAATGAATTAGGAACTAAAGGTCTTCTGTCTCCAAGTTACATAAATCTTAGGCTCTCAGAACCTCAATTCATTCTTTTAAAATGTTGACAGATTGCCTTCCCCACTTGGCAAACAACTAATATTTAAGAAATTTTTAGCCGGGCGTTGGTGGCACACACCTTTAATCCCAGCACTCGGGAGGCAGAGGCAGGTGGATCTCTGTGAGTTCGAGACCAGACTGGTCTACAGAGTGAGTTCCAGGACAGCCTCCAAAGCCACAGAGAAACCTTGTCTTGAAAAACCAAAAAAATTTTTTTATGAGAACAGTGAATAATACATAGCATATGAAAATGACATCCAAGTATGGTATTTGCATGTTGGTTACTGCCATACATGAATAAAAATGGCAATTATACTAATAGGCAAATTTATGTTTTACAAGAGTTTTGTATACACGATCTCATTTGGTCTACAAAATAAACAACAAAGCCCTTTCAGGACACTAAGGGCGTGATTTATTGTAGGGAACTAATACGGAGTTGTAATTCTGCTTGGTTTTGGTGTTTAAAACAGACAAGAAAAGCTTCCCAGCCCCAGCCATGTCACTGATCATTTGTGACCTGCCTCTTATTTTCCAAATGAATCTTATTCCAGCTTCTAGACTGTCAAGTGTTAAGGTATAGAATGATATCTTAGTTGCACCCAGACCCAGATACTTGGCAGGGAATACAATCTTAAACTTACTGGGCTCCTCGGCTTCTGAAAATCGGAGTGGGGAAGGTATTTATGATCGGTTGCCCTGTACAATCTTGACATCAGCTTTCACTGAAAAAATTTGTATAGAATTTTTTGGAACCCAATATTAAAATCAAAGATTATACCACTTGTGATTTATTTCCTAGAAGAATATCCTTTCTGGTCCTAGTACTAAACATAGTTCTGTTTTTCCAGGTCAATAGATTTAGTTTTGATTTTTTTTGGGGGGGGCATGAGGTTTCAAGACAGAGTTTCCCTGTAGCTTTGGAGGCTGTCCTGGAACTCACTCTTGTAGACCAGGCTGGTCTCGATCTCACAGAGATCCATCTGCCTCTGCCTCCCTAGTGCTGGGAGTAAAGGCGTGCACCACCACCTCCTGGCTTTGTTTTTTGTTTTTTTTCTTCTTACTGAAATGAAATTCACAAACATAAAATTAGCCATTTTAAAGTGTGCAAACGGTATTTAACACACTCATAGTACTGTGCAACTATTACCTCTATCTAGTCCCCAAAATATTTTCATCACTCCCAAAAGAGAGCCTGAACTCATTAAAAATCCACTCCCCATTTCCTTCTTTCTCTACATACAAACAGCCATCATCAGTTCCTTGCCTTTGCTTATATAACACTTTTGAATATACCATGTGAGTAGAATCAAAAGTGACCATGTACCTGACTCCCACCACTGAGCACAAGTTTTCAAGATTTATCCATGTCGTAACATTTACCTATTCATTTATTTATGTATTTATTTTGGTTTTTCAAGACAAGGTTTCCCTGTGTAGCTTTAGAGCCTTTCCTGGCATTTGCTCTGTAGACCAAGCTGGCCTTGAATTCATAGAGATTCGCCTGCCTCTGCCTCCCAAGCGCTAGGATTAAAAGCATGCACCACCACTACCCAGCTCCATGTTGTAACATCTTTTTATATGATAATATTTCATTATATGAACATGCCACATTTTATTTTTCTATTCATCCATTGACCAGCATTTTGGTTGTTTCTACACCTGCTTGTTATTCATAATGTTATCATAAACATTGATTTTTAAGTATCCATTTTCAAATCTTTGAGTATGTGCTTTGGAGTGGAGTGCTAACTATATATTTGAATTTTTGAGGATTACAAAAGTTAATGAATGTGTTAATGAAAGAAGAAAGGAGGACATTAGCCTGCTATTGTCCCAATACCTAGAGCTTTTTTGTAGTAAACTGAAGTTTGGATTCTTCATAACTAACTGCTATGGTTTGAAAATGGTCTGTTCCCACCAGTTTGTGTTGATGTAAGTAGTTCAGTGCTGGGAGAGTAGTGGGAGATATAGGGTCACCAGAGCTGAGTTCCGTGAACATTTTCATACCTTCTCCTGAGAGTGAGTGCCCACTTTCAACAGGGCTGGAACAACTACCTGGAGAGCAAATTATTATAAAGCAAGTTTACCTCTAGGCTCTAGGGCATGGGATAGGTTTGGCTGCTTCCCAGAATTCCATGGGCAGCAAGTTTCTTGATGCCTTGGGGCTTGTTTTATGGTAGTGGTTTTGGTGGGGATTTTATTACAGACACTGGGGCGGGGGCATTGTTGTCTGACTGGCTGGAAGAAAATACATCATTTGGAAGTTTGGAGGCTTGGAGTGACTCTAAGAGACATATTGCTTTTACTTCATCCTGTGGACCAAGTGATAGCAGTGATTCAATCCAAGAGGAATTTATGTAAAATGTTTAAACTAAGTATGAGTATAGCAAGGAGAAAAGAAGTGATTGGGGAGGTGGGGGAAGCCAGCATAGGAGGGAACCGAGAGCCTGTCCAACAGAGGAAATCTCTTATTGACTTTTTTGAGCCAGGTTCCTAAGTCTTTGGGTCCCTTCTTGAAGCAGTTTGGATCTGTTTGTGTAGAAGTAGCGTC